ATGACAGTGCTTCGCTGGCTGCCTGAGGTTGGCTGGATGCTCAGCTTCCCCGAACGCTGCTTTGCCATGGCCGACGAGGCGGGAGCGCATTGCAAATTCGCATCCAGTGTTGTCGGGTCATGTTGGTGGCAGTTGAGTTGCGAAGTGGGAAAACGTGCTGGAGTGCTGGAGTGCTGGGGCATTGCTCGAACATCACTTGTTTTCTTTGTGAGCGCTTGTCTTGCTGCCAAAGCCAAGAATCACCCCTGTTGGTAGCTTCCTATCCTGGACGTTTGTCCAGGCTGCAGCCAGATATCACGCAAAGCGTGGCGCCCAGCATTGCGGGCTTGCAATGCAAAGAGTTCGGTGCACTTGAAGTCTGCAGTGGCTCTTTGTTTGAGATGTTCAGCATGTTTAGCATTAATGTTGTAGACTGTGAAGAGTATTGCCCAAGGGGCCTGCCAGGTCTCCTAAGAGTCAAAAAGAGCAAGTTTTCAGAGCAAAGGCGAGACGCATACATCGCATGGCTGCAGAGGTGAGCAAAAGCCTGGTCTCACTTGGTGTGGCAAGATGGATTTGGTGAAAGAAGATTGAACTCATCTCAGAGGTGTTGTTTGAAACATTCCGAGCTGTTGACATGTTTCCAAGATTATACCCTGCCACTGCCCAGAGGCCGCCCAGGCAAGTGGAAAACACATGCGCCGCGACATATTTGAGTGCAGAGTTCCTTGGCTCATTGTGGCCTACCATCGGACTAAATGTGCCAAAGGAACTTTTGGCCCGCTGCTGTTGCTGATCCTTTGGCAGACTCAGAGCCTTTGACTCTTGGAGGGCGCTCAGCTTTACGCTCAGCTTTAGCGCTGCTGCCATTCACCTGGTCAAGCGCCTTGCTCTTGAGCATCTAGCTCGGTTTGGGGATGAAGGCCTCTTGAGAGAAAGAGCCATGCCGCAGAGACCAGACGGACGCCTGGAAGGCGCGCAGAGGTTTGTGCAGATTCTCAGATCGTGTTTGGATCGATACCAAAAGGTTTGCCTGCTCCGCTAAGCACACGGATGTCGAGCTTGAAGATCCGGAGTCGCAGAAATGTGCACTCGAGGCAACGCAAGACCACAGTTGACGCTGAAGTGTCACCGGGACTGGGCTTTTGCAAGTCGCCTTTAATGGACAGAGACAGGAGACACTAAGTAATGATGAGAATGACAAGATCTGTCCGTGCCCCGTGTAATGGCTCTGCCAGCAGGACCTGGGCGGTGGCCAGGTTCAGATTGGTCGATCCTGGCTAGCTGCCTCCTCAGTCTGTGAGAACTGGCGTCTGGCTTTGATCGGCTGGCAAGCAGGAGAAACCATCATTTTCTCTTTGGACATGTGGTGCGCAAGGAAATACTCCGGACAATGACCGCCCACCTTTGTGATGCGTGATTTTCATTGAGCAAGCTATTATGCCGGTTGGTTATGCATTACTCAATCCCCAGCTAGTCATGTCGCTGAAGATTTGCCGTGTGCGCTTCTGGAGGCTGGCGTCAACTACGCACTGTATCGGAAGCGGCTTAAGCAGGACGGGCGGACGGGCGGACTCGGTGCCTTGAGAGCGTCGATTGTGACTTGTCAATGGAGGGCGCGCTCAGAGAGGTAGGCATGTAGACTTTGCATGGTTTGACAGACTCAACGATCGCATTTGGGCTCAATCTCGAGGCTTTCGTAGTATGTATCCAGGCCAGGTAGGTTTTGACACTTGCTGCGGGCCGGTGTTGCGACTCTTGGCTGCATGAAACATGTCGCCTGCACATGACGAAGCTGTATGCTGACAGCACTCTGTTGATTCCACCGAGAGCAAAGTGAAGAGCTGGACTTGCCTGCTCGTTCTAAAAATGTGACACTTATGTACTTGCCAAAGTTTTGTACATTGTTTTGGATGTGTACGCTCCTCTTGACTCTTCACACATGCTCACATTCTCTGTATGCGACCTACATGAACGCACTATCGCGTACATGTATTTCATAGTATATGTACATATATGGTCAGCATCCCCCCACGATTGTTTTGAAGACTATGCATTGCCAACACATGTTTTATATGGTTAAAGGAATTGACGCCAATGATGAATGTACAGAGTCATGGAGATGTACCCAGTCGTGGGAGTACTTAGTAGCAACCACGGCTTGTTTCAGTTGCACTGCAATGTGTAAACACAGCGCCAAGCTCGCAGTTTTTGTCAAGCAGCCGCACAGCAATCAAGCAGCGTTGTCCTTTTTTCAAACGGCTCAAAGCTGCAATTGCCACGCTTACATCCACCCGCATACGGATTTTCACGGACATGTACACAAACAATGCATACACACCTACACACACATATGCATGCACGTAGACAGACAGACACACAAACATGCACCAATACATTCCTACGTCGTGTCTGGAGTGCGGGCAGGCAAATAAGCAGTCCTCTTCTTGGCAAGCAGGGCTAATGGGCTTGTGCCCGCAGCCTGAAACCTGCAGATCCAGCATTTTGGCGAGCTGTCACCATATTGTGCTGCTTGCATGAGGATCGGGACACAATGATTCACTACAACCCCAACAAATGGGGGGCCATGCTGAAATGGCGCGGCAGCATAGTGCCTATGTCTCTCAGGCAGGGTGTTCAAAGCGAAACTGAATGCGTGTTGCACACATATGCATACGTTGAATTCAAAACTCCCTGGCGCCGATTGTACATGCAGCGACTTCATGTTTCTTGGAGGATATCTATGCCTTGGGCCATCCTGGCACTTATGTTGAAGTACTTTGAGGCGGGTCTTGCAGTTGCAGTTCTTGGTGCTCGCTGTGATTCGGCGTGAGACAGCAAATCAGTTGTACACCGTGGGAGATTTGGGGTGTTCTGGATCTCTCGATCCTGGACTTTCTGAACACCGGCGAGATCTACGGTGGTTTTACCTTCGTGCTTGGCTGCTTGTGCGCGCAGAAAGTGCTTGTTCTCAATCCTCTCGTGCTGGAGGCGTCATGTGCAATGCAAGTGTTCATCGCGCCAAGGCTTTACATTGGTTTTTCGAACTTCTCAGTCTTACACAAGATACTGGGCAGCTGCCACAGCTATCCATGAGAATCTCAGCAATATTTGGGAGCAGAGAACTTTGAGCGTGAGTGTGCCCCATGCTTTTTCTGTGGGGCAGATCTGACGTGCCACTCTGATTCTCTCAGGATGGGCTCGGAGTGGTCCGACTCCTGCGCCAGTTTACTTGCCTTTGCGAGCTGCTCCAAGGCGCCGGCGGAGGCGGGAAAGGGCTCGGAAGGCAACGGAACGATGGCAACGGAACGCGGCACCATTGGACATACATCGAGCCATCTGCCAGACCTTAGAGTCATCGCAAGATGCTGGAACGCTTAGCGTTCAACAGAGACTGACAAAGGGTTGCTACCAGAGGAGGCACACGTGACTGGTCTGCGTGCAGTTAGGATTGTACCGCCCGTGAGAGCGAAACTGTCTCTACTAAGCATTGATCGCATGACACATGCCTAAATCTGCTTCAGCCTTTTTATTTTCAGCTCTTCCTTCCCGCACTGTTTCTCTCTCGGAATGGCTTCGTGTTTTTAAATTGAACTCGTTTCTGATCTGGGCCGCCTGCCAAACATCCTGCGATGTCATCTTTCCCTTTCCTGTGCTGTCTCTCTGTGTCTCTGTCTCTCCGTCTCAGACTCTCTGTCTCGCTGTTTCGCGGTCTCTCTTTCTCTCTGTCCTCACTGTCCCGCTGGGGTGCGCGCCCGTCTGTGCGCTGGATCCCTTACTCGTCTGTGCACTGACGCGTAGCCCAGCACCAACACCCCCGACTGGTCTAATGATTAGCCCTGACAAACGAACTGGCTATTTTACACTTCTGGTGCAAAGTAAGACCACATTAGGCAACATTAGCCTTTGGTTAGAGGAAGTCTTTGACAAGGTTCCCTGTTTGCAGGGACACGCTTCAAAGATCTGATTTCGCAGTTGACAGGGCCAGGTCTCAGCTGCAGCAGCTAGGAAGAAACTCTTGTCAAAAAGACAGACATATTTCTGCAGCCCTTTGAGCACTTGAGTGTTGAATGACTAGCCCGAACTAAGGAGCTTCCCGTTTAACATTGCTGGTGCAAATGAGGCAACGTTAGGCAAATGAGGCAACATTAGTGGCGATGTTTGTTTTCCGTGCTCCCCCTCTCAACCCCCGTGGCCCCACCAGGAAGAGATTAGTTTTGTACCCTGGTGAAAGAGCAGTCTGCGTGGGCTCACTTGAGCGGGTGCTTATCATGTGCCCCCCCTTCTCCAGGAAGAGATTGTCCTGCGTCCCTCCCCCCTCAAGAAAAGAGGTGACTTGCTGGCCGTGCGGGCTACCCGGCGGGAGGGCTTGCCACGCCCCAACCCCCTTCCCCCCCTTACAAGCAAAAGAGCGGCTGCTCAGTTGAGCAGGTGTGCTTCCTGCTGCGCAGGCAAGCGTGCGTGAAAGGGGGAGATGGAACTTTCATGGCGCACAAATGAGTCCCTGGTTGTGTCTCTGTCTCCGTCTCTCTCTCTCTCTCTCTGTGTCTGTTTGTCTCTGTGTGTCTCTGCCTCAAACTCCCGCGCTAGATTTGTTGCTTGTTGTGAGACAGGGCGCGTCAACGGACAGAGCAGAAGTTCGCTCAGCTGTATCGTCAGTGGTGAAGGGCCTCAGATGGGTACAAACGCGCCAACTCGGCACGCGCTCAATTATTGGGTTCGCAGAAGGCAGCGGACGGATCTTGCAGTTCCTCCTGCTGGACGGCTCATGCGCGTCTGGCTGTGTGTCTTGCCAGCTACATTGCTACGTGGACAACAATCTTTCGTTCTTGGTGAGGGTTCGGAACAAGCAGACACACGCGCTCGTGGAACGGCTGGCAAATTGACGCCCAGCGCCATGCAGATGCCCTGCCCAAAAAAAGAGTCTTGCGCGTCGCAAGCGAAACTTGGAGAAACGCATTGGTTTGCTACAGTGGCGCGTGAACTTGGTCCGGTTCTTGAGGCCCGGCTCAGAGATTTGTGCGGCTCTGCTGCAACACTGTTTTCTTTGTCGCACTCAAAGTGGTAGAATCTTCGCCAATCTTTGAGGAGCAGCAATCGTGTTTGTGACCCGCTGCCGTTTACGCCGGTGCGGGGCCGCAATTTCGCAGAAGTGACAGGCACAGACGGTCCGTGCTCGTGACCCCACGTCTTCTAAGTGTGTGCTCAACGCAGAGGCCGTCTACACCTTGAAGTGGGCCGGTGGCAGATAGAGGCTGGCAGATAGAGGCAGCAGCAGACGCTATGGTGTCTGACAATATGCGGGGCACAGGAGGATGGGTCAGCCCGGGAACTGGTCTTAATTCTTCTCTACTTGCGGAGGTCCGCAAGCGCTTGGGCTGATGACCTCTGCGAGCCCCAGACAATTGTTCAATCGCTGTGCGGCGGAGAGTCAGTCTTTCCGAGCTTTTTGCGCCAAGATGAGTGTGCCTGTGCCCTCCCGGGATCGCAAACCATTGTTCTGCTCCGCTAAAAGCTTGCTGCCTCTCAGGAGCGCCTTCCCTTCTCACTGAAGGAGGGTTGAATTTGTGAGCCCAGTCGGCGCCCGATGCTAAAGGGGCGGGTTGTTGGTCGAACGGCACTGTAAAAGGAGGGAGCGCTGAGTGGTCTCAAATATCTGTGTCAGGGCAGACGTTTTGTCCTCAGTTTGGATTGCCATTCTACCCATCAAGCAGACCGGGTTGCCTTGACAAACCAGTGTTTACACTTGGGTTTTGCAGGGTTGCTCCTAGTCCTCAAGAGATCCTGGTCTCATTAATAGCCCGACGCAGCCTTTGATTTTCACCCGCCCTCCTCTCCCAGGGCGCTTGTGGCAAAGTGGGGCGTTGAAGCAACTTTGTAAACGTCGGCGGCCTACAAACAGCGATCACCTCATCGAGCCTCGTGGGGGTGCTTGCGGTGCGCTGGTTAAAGATGAAGGGTGGCAGGGTCAGCGTGTGCAGAACACAGCCTTGCAGGCCCTGTTTGTCATACAGTTGGTGCTTGAACAAGTGCCACTTTTCTTTGATCCATCTTGCGTCCCTTTCCAGCCCCACGACTCAATCCTTGCCGTTTGGATTGTGGCTGGCAAACCCAAGGCTTCCTTTATGTGAGCCCAAGCGAGAATTCCCAACTAGAGAAACCTCAGCTTGCCATTTCTGGTGATGATTCCTCATCAATTGAGTGTGCAACTTGGAAGGGTTGGGTGCTGCTGGATCAGGGCCTAGCTGACCCCATTGATCGACATGCAACCCCGCTTCTGTCTTCGATTGGAACACACTTACAGCTGCGGCCGTGTAGTTGACTGCAAATTTGGATGTTCTTTGTCGCAACAGCTATTGCCATCCTACAACCGCCAACAGTGCGATGAATGATGGCTGAGCCGCTCAAATCCGAAAGATGTCGGCAATTATCAATTCGCATGCTTCAGCTGATTTGGCAACCTTTCAGACAGTGACAGGATGCATTCAGCATGTCATTAGTTGAACACGTAGCCAGTTGGCACTGCAGCACTTCCAGGAAACGCACACGCACAAAT